ATAAGCTTTAGTGTTTAGAAAAGAGAATTGAGATATGCACAGGTCAAAGAGCAAGAGAAAACTAACTCGTGAACTGTCAAAGTCGTGAAAAAGTGAGTTTATGTTTATATTATACGAGGCAATTACTCGGAAATTAAAATTTTTAAGTAACAGAAGTTTATATAAAAATTATTCTAAGTCTAGAAAAAATGTGTTTATGTTTACATAACGCCAACTACTAGGTGACTAAAATTATTAATTATTAAAGTAGAGGAATTTTATATTAAAATTTAATATAAGTTTCTCGTTCGTTCCCGTCTTTTTAATAATTAAACTAATGTATTATTATTTAAATATTACTTTATTCTATATCGATTTCAATATTGGACGGTTCTTAATATCTATACGATCTTTAATGGAATATATTATTGCTTAAATATTGGATTATCGCATATCGCGTACTTTGTACACTGTTTATATAATTAGATATTAGTCGTATCTATGAGATGATTAAATATAGTCGTATGGAGACAGTGTATTTCGACGTTTATTCCTGAAAGTACGAAAGAAGACTGACGTAGTAACTCGCATTGTCCTTCCAATGGTCCATCTTGTTGACATTATCGATCTACGAAAGTTGAAAGGAAATTATTTTGTCTAACGCATTTAAAAAGCTATGCAACGCTTTGAGTAATGTAATATTGTTTAATTATTATCTCATCTTACCCCGAGTATATTGTGCATTATTTAAACTATTATAAAACTGTCATATCTGTAAGATGATTAAATGTAGCGATATAGTGAGAGAGAGGGTACTTCGACATTTACTCCTCGGGGTACGAAAGTAGACTAACGTAGAAACTCGCATTGTCATTCCAATGGTCCTTCTTCTTGTTGATATTAAACGATCAACGCACGCTGAAAGGAAAATATTTCAAGCCCAACGCGTCGCAAGAATATAATATAATATTATATTGAAAATTTAACTCTATTTAAATATTCATTTACATTTTTTTTTAATATTTTTGTTTGGAACTACGTAATGTTTAAATGAATTTGCTATCAGTTTAAATTCTACGCGTACGTTTCAATTTTTTTAAGTAATTCGAAAATTATCGAAATAATGATTTATTTAAGTTTAACTATATGGAAAGAGATGTTTACCCTTCGGAAGACAAAAGAAAACTGTTTCGATATTCGTCAAAGTCAATCTATCGTTCCTTTTTATCGATATTACATGTAGCGAACAACTCTGTGATCGTTAATTGAAATGAATTTAATATTAAGTTAAAATTGTTTTATATTTTATCAATATTTCATTAATATTTCGTAATAAAATCTTTGCATTTATTCTTTGTATTTCTCCTAACGCACATAATTCCTACATCTTGTGCTTTTTAAGGAATTCCTTTGTCATTTAAAATAATCTAAAGATTTGTTTACTCTTGTTTTTCGACTTGCATTTTGTTCATCAGATGATAAAATATTCAGAGCTGCTGTTAAATTATGGTACCCTTCGAAGGGTAACCTTTTTTTATAAATGCATTAAATGGTAGCTGTTATATGATCGTTCGCAAATTGATTGTAACGCATCCTGGTGTTACATTCTTTGAATTAAAAATATTCTATAATAGCGCTTTAGAAACAAGTAATACCAAATACAGATATGTTTTCAACTTTTCCTTTCTTCATATTGAACCGTGTTATTAAAAAAAAACGCTTCAATATTGATCAACGGAAGATTGAAACATTCATTAAATTATTTTATTACGTTGTTTCGTTATTAATAACGATTATCAATAACGATTATTAATAAGCGATTATAAATGTTTAGTAAATGTATCTTTCCGCACTTTTTATACATTTATCCTTTCATTTATTAACTAATAAATGTACAAATATTTAATAAAATATTATAATTCATTACCGTATTCGTGTACCCACGATATATTTTTTCTTAAGTTACTTGTTTTATTCCAAAATCTTGGTTGCATATTTAATTTTCTAAGAATGTCAAACAATTAAACTTAATTTTAGTTAAAACGTGTTGGTAAAATCTCTTTCCCTCTCTCCCTGTGGGGGTATGTATTGTTTATTTGAGAAAAAATTAAAGAAACAAGTTTAATTAAATCACATTTTTTACAAATTTATCCGTCAACGCTATAATAAAATCTCCTGTGAAACAGAAATGCGTTTATCAAAAGATATCCACATTTAACTGTACTATGGAAATATATTTAATCATCCAATTTTCGCATACTTATATAACCGAACCAGAAGCCGATCATATTCTATATAGCTCTGTATCTATAGTTAGATCTTTCTACTCTTCTCTTCCGTATTACAAACATCAGTATAGCTCCAGCAATTCCTATAAGTGTTATAACAAGTGTAATACCTACAACTAAAATATACATAATTAATCATAAATGAATTAATTATTTGTAAATAATAAAGAATTTCGTCGTCGCGCATATACCTATTATAAAACAGCAAGTATGTACTTACATATAATTTGATAAGTTAGTATCGAAATATTATCAGATTGTAATTTAAGGCATCTGCTTATATTTGTCAAAGAACCATTTGTTTTTGGACACTTTATGTCGAGTATTTTACAAAATAAAGGAAACAGATCAGTATTTTTGAATGGTTCCAACTTGCAACCAGGAACAAATGCAGGTCCTTTTGCAAAAAATATTGGATGCATTTCTATTGCTCCATTGTCATAACCATGTAATCCAAATTCTGATGTGCTATCGACTGTAAAAAAAGACATGTTACTTAAAAATACATGTTACTTAAAAATATATACCTCTTATAATAATAATAATAATATTATTATTATTATAATATTAATATTATTATTATTATTATTAATATTAATATTATTATTATTATTATTATTATTATTATTATTATTATTATTATTATTATTATTATTATTATTATCACTTGGACTTGTAACTATTATATGGAATTAGAAATAATGTATAAAGGAAGCATGATTTTTACGTATCAATGTATAAGTAATTACCAGTGATATTAAACTTTTTCTTATAAAACTGAATAGTGTCGTTAAGATTCTGAAACGCATATCCCACGTTTGCTATAACAAAAATAGGGCCAACACGTTTGTTATTGCCATAATGATATTTTTCTGGAATTTCGTGTTTTCTGTAAACTTTGAAATTCATTGTTTCTTCTGCGGCAAATTTCAGATTTTGATATATTAACTCTTCTTTTCCTGAATAAATATAATCGGATTAAATGAAAAACGTAACTTGTGTAATTAAGTAACTTACAAAAGGTAATAAACTAACCTCGATTTGGATAAATATGTAAACCTGGTGATGTTCCTACAAAAGTATAATCAGTACTATTAATGTACTTATTCAAATCTATTATTCTGTCCAATGTAACAGTTGCCATCCCATGATCGCTTAAGTGGATAACATTAACATCATTTAAACCGTATTGCTCTAATTTGATATGTAAGTATTTTGTAATTTGATCTAATTTTTCAAGAATTTTATTAAAAGAATAATTGTTTATTCCAATGAAATGACCATGATAATCTGGTTCTTCTATATACAATATTCCTAAATTTATTGGCATTGTGGGGTCTACAAACCATGATATCAATGTATCTACTCTTTCTTCCCAATTAACAGTTTCGTTAAAGGCCTTGAAAAATGATAATATTTAATAATAATTTGTAAAATACAACTTACAAAGCACATTATACACATAAAGGGATATTTGAATGTTATATATGTAATATGAAAAATATACTTGTCTATAAGTAGGAGTGATGCCACCATATTCAAATATACTACCAGGCCACATCATTGTGCCACTATGTCTTCCTATATTTTTTTCATTAATTGTCCAAATCGGTAGAATCCTATTGTCGTAATGATAAAGTTGTGATGAATATTTGGTAATGTTGCCAGAGACAGGGTCATAAACTTCGTTGTCCACAACACCATGAGTTTCTGCATATAATCCAGTTGCCATTGTATGATGATTTGGAAAAGTTTTAGTAACAAAAATATTCATCATATAATCGGCATGCGTGCCTTCGTTCCTCAACTTATTCATATAAGGTGTAACATTTTTATTAAAGTAATCGTATCTGGAAAGAAATAATCTTCAAACGTACTATTAACGGGGTGACCTTGTGTGTGTATGTGTGCGTGTGTGCGCGCGCGCGCGTGTGTGTGTGTGCGTGTGTGTGTGTCTGCGTATGTACGCATGTTAGTGTATGCGATATGCAAAGCTTCATACCTAAAAGCATCATATGATACCACTAATAATTTAGGATGTACGGATACAAATTGACCTTGTTTAATATTACATAAAATAAAAAGAAATAAAGTAATCGTGAGCATCATAGTTACAACTATATGTCAATGGAGGATAATAATACTTTTCATCATAAAACAATTTCAGTCACTCTTATTGTCCTTTGTATTTATTAAAAACATAGCTCTGACGGTACTACTTAACGCGTTTCGATTATATATTAAGTTTTATTCTCTTTTTTTTTTTTTTTATTGTCCCATTTGCACTCACCACCCGCCCACCCACTCGACTGTCAGATCAATCAGAACGCCAACGAAAATATTTCATTATAACTTGTATAATGTTCGTTCTAGGGATTAAACAAAAAGGGCGGCAAACGTGTAATTTTTGAATTTCAGATACAGGTTATAAATACGATTTTTATTAATTATTAACAACTATAATTCGATCTGTTCTAATAACCGAGTAATACAATCGAATGTATCGCTTTATTTGGAAGCTTTCCCGTCACTTTTTTTTCCCTCTTTTTCCCTTTTTTCTCTTTACCATTTCCTATAATACTTTTATTGATAATGTAGTTGTATTCTCATTCGATTTTGTTTCACATGAAAACACCATATCGACTTAAGGCATCGAACGTATTGAAATTATGTCAGTTTATCGAAATGTATGCAATATTTAAATATACATATATCTATCATAAAATGAATCTAAATATGTAATATGTCACGTTGAAATATATAACGTTAATTCATCGAGATAATATTGAGAAATGTATCTTATTATCGAATGCTATTATAATTTACGCGAAATAATTGTGCATGAAAATATATCGAATTTTATTTGATGACATTTTTTCGTAAAATATGCAATGTACAATAAAGATCGAATGTTCATTGACATTTTTTAAAAAGAAGTTTAACAGTACTGCGTAGATAAATTTTTCGTTTTCGGGTATTGCAATAGCAATAGATGGTGCACAAGTCGCAAATCGCCATCTTGTGCACCACATGACCTCGTTGCCGCGTCCCGTGACCAGCTCACGTGAATTTTGGCAAATTCAAACATTTTTGGTGGAAAATATGGACATTTTGGATCAGCACCTTCAACAACAGGATGTCAGGTAGCGTTTATATTAACTATCGGCTGGTTAATGATGAAAACACATATTCCTCCTGTTCCGCCTGAGGTTTCGTCAAGGTCACCAGATAGTGCACGGTGCGCACTTACAGCCGTAGGACGACAGGAGTCGTGGAAGTAATAGGCATAGTTGTAACTGCAATGATATTTTATACGAACGTATTTCAGATAAAGCATTTTGTTTTCAGCACCGTTGGAACAAAGGATGAATCTGGAACAGGAATAGTTATTGAAGAAGCAGAGATTGTTGATTGTGAAGGTAAAAGGGTACTATCTTTTTTATATCTTACCTTTCTTTCTCTCTTTCTCTCCCACACACACACACACACACACACACACACACACACAAAACATAAATTATTATAATTTATGATATTTAAGAAATATGCGTTAACATTATTTGAAATTCTAATATATTGGGGATATATTAGATGGATAACGTTAATAAGTACGCATACAATTTCTCTCTTTCTATGTATATATATATATATACATATATATATACACACACACATATTGAGTATACGATTATATATCAGCAGAAGCAGTTGGAGATGATGGAATGCGATATCAGGAAGCACTTGCTTATAGAGTGGTTCAAGTAAATGGTACGTCAAGCAGTAATGAAATAGAACTGCCTGTAGGACAACCAGGAAGCAATACTGTACAAGTTTTAACGTCTCCTTTGAATGGACAGTTTTATGTCATTGGCAATGCTAATGATGTTTTCACTACTGCTCAAACGTCTAGGTCATTAGTTCCAAGGACTACTCTTCAAATAGAAACACCAAGAAATTGTACTACTGGTTTAAAGAAGGTATTTATATTGAATGAAGTTCTAATTGTTCTCTTTTAAACAGAGGACAAATGGAAATCATATTTCAGAGAGACGACAGAAGAAGAGCAACGCACAATGAAGTTGAACGTCGGCGTAGAGATAAAATTAATAATTGGATTGCAAAATTAGGAAAAATAATACCTGAATGTAATGCCACGACCAATACTAGCGCAGGCGGTAATAGTGGAGAGGGAAAGGCAAATTATGAAACGCAGGTAATAGAAAATAGATTAGATAGATAGACGCTTATTCATTAGTCTATACGGTAATACATTTTTTTGGGTTATTACAAAAAATGAATGTTCTTTTCTGATTTGGTTGTTAGAGCAAAGGAGGGATTTTAGCGAAGGCTTGTGAGTACATAGGCGAATTACGTGCAGCAAATCAGGGCTTGGGTCAATGTTTACGAGATAATGAAAAATTAAGACAGGAAATAACTGCCTTAAAACAGCTGATTTCGCAATTAAAACGCGAAAACCTTCAGCTTCGAACACAGTTGTCTTCATCTTCAGGGACAAGTGCTGATGTCCATTTGAGTTCGTAATTTTGAGTTAGAGTATAACATGTAAATATTAGCCGTCATGTAAGAATTAGAAATATCTACTTTGTTTTTCCTTTTCTCTCTCTCTCTCTCTCTCTCTCTCTCTCTCTCTCTCTCTCTCTCTTTTATTTTACTGTTTGCTGTTTTTTAAACTGACATCGACTTGTAGTAAATTCTATGATTTTGGAATCGTATCAGAATTTGATTAAATATTTACTTACAATTAGATGAATTAGAATATCCTAATAAATAATCATGAATGGTCTTTTATAATTATTACCACCTCAAATATGCAAATTGCATTTCAAATGCTGTGGTTTAAAGTATACTTTGTTAATATTGTTATTTGAGCAGTGTCTATGTAAGTTGCGCTATAATAATTGTTATTTTAATTATCATTTAATTAGGATTTTGAAAGTAATAAGAATGACCGAAATTTATGAATGCGTATAGGTGTATGCGTGTGTGCGTGTGTGTGAGTGTGCGAGAGAGAGATAGCATTGCCGATGCTATGAAAACACGATGCAATATTTTAATATATGAAAATATTTCTTCTAATCCAAAGACGGGATTAAAACGTTTAGTTTCTGCAGTCAAGTTTTATATATATTATAAAATTGTACGTTCTTTCTCAATCTATATAACAGGTCAAAAAAATTTCTTTTATCATAAACAAGGCGGATTTGTATAATGAGAGTTTGAGTTATGTGTTCCATTTGATGATATTGTATATTTTTAAACCTGCAACCAAATTGACCACCAAGGTATAAACACGTTACTATTGTGTTTCATGTTTACAAATATATATTGCTTATTTATATTGTCACCATCGCGTTTCAATTTATTATGTTTTAAATCAATAAATTGGCCCAATGTTCATCAGACATTATTGTATCACATACAATAATTTTACGCTAAATTCTTCTCTTTAGTTTATTATTTCGAAATGTTTATACAATTGTGTAGATAAATTTAATAATGGATTAATTATCAGGAGAAAATTTTTGACTATCGTTATACAGATGCAATCACAATTATGAATATTTTTTGATCTGCAAATATCCAATTGAATATATGTGAATATCATTGGATATATTTTATTTTTAATACTTACCTTATATTAACGCGCGAAAAATGTAGTATAGAGTATGCAAGAAACTAGGATGGGATGTAAAACGTATTAATTGTACTTTTACGTTTGTGTAAACAACAATGTGATATTTGCGCATACATAGTAAATAACACAACTAAACTTTAATTAGGCAGTAAATAATTGTAATATATCGTTAATGTACATAGTATACTGCATTGTTACGTAATTATTATTGATCGTCATCGCGTCACATTAAAATAATCTGATAAAAGTGATCAAATGTTTGTCTTTTCTAAAATACAACCGTTTGGTAAAGATATTCCTTTTATTTATGACTTTTATTTACTTTTTACATATTTTACAATAGAATTAACGTCAAACTTTTTTACTGAAACAACAAATATATAGTATATAATTTTTCATTTTGCGCTCTACAGCAATGATTGATTATCTATGCTGAAAAGAAAAAGAAAAAAAAAAAAAAGAAAAAAAAAAGATAAAAAGAAAAAAAAAAAAAAGAAAAAGATCTTCCTCCACTAATGAGAGAAGAGAATGATTGTATACATTATAGCTAATGGTAACATGTCTTTCTTGCACTGAATTAACGCCGTTTAACGGCATAAAGCGGCTTTTTAAATTCAGTGAAAAATACAGTGATATCATTCTGTATCTTCACCATAGATTAAAAATCTATTAGATAATTGTTTGCCGTTATCCTTTGCCTGTTTATAAACAGAAAAAGGATTTCACGCGATATTTTCACATCCGTATTATACAAACAAATGTATAGAAGATGGAAGCGATAAGAATTTATTGCATAACTGAAATCTCATCTAATTTTATATAATTTCCTAATTTACAAGTGATTCTATCGCAAGTAATGTTGCAAGTAAATATATAAGAATTTTAAAGACATTCCCAAGTGACACAGAGAGGTATCTAAGAACATCCCGCGCTTTATTGTCTTAGGCGTATTTATATGCATTTTAAAGGTGCATTATCATCTAATATACACAAAAGCGTACATTTAATGCATTACACATATTTAACTGCTTCATGAAAGTATAATTTATTATCATGAATGAAAATTATCGATTAGTGCTTTAACTGCCTTCTCTTTGCTTTCCGTTTTGATTTTTCTTTTTTTCTTTCCTTTTACTTTTAAATTAAATCGGGATATCCTTTGATCACAAACCATCTAAAAATGAAAGTGATCCAACATTGTTGCAAGTGACATTGCTAGTTGATACTATCGCAACAAATTAATCTTCTAAATTTCTAAATGCCTGTTGGATGTCTTCGTGTAACTGATCGAAATCGGCTCTTATCTTAGCTTCTCCATCCTTTACAGGATCCTAAAATGTATAATGTGTTTTAATTTTACATCGAGAGAGCCTTGAGTCTGATCGTCACACCAAGTGACCACGAAACAATGCACAAGTTATACAATTATTTACCTTAAATTTCATCGAGCTTAATTGATAAAGAATATTTCCCATACTGTCGCGAATTACATTCCATGTAATTTTATTGTCAGATTGAGCGGTAGATTCTACCGCGTGCCTTGCCATATCATAAAATGCAATCATGTTTCTTAACATTCCTACAGTTTTGTAAAATGGACAGAAACGATCGTACGGGGAGTAACTATGAGAAAAGATATAATTAATGGGTAAACTCATCATATAACATAGCTATGCATAAGATACTGATGACTGACCTGTTTTGTTGGAGAAAATCGTCTTTCAAAAGTTTCGCAACTTCCAATGTAATCTTGTCGGTTTCTGCGAGGGAAGCTTTACCAACCAGCTGCACGATCTCGGACAAATCCTCTTCCTCTTGTAAAATTTCTTTTACCTTTGTTCTCAATGGTACAAATTCTGGGAAGTTCTTGTCATAAAAATCATCTAACGCACGCAAATATTTACTGTACGATATGAGCCAATTAATCGATGGAAAATGTTTGCGTTGTGCAAGTTTCTTATCCAATCCCCAGAAGACCTAAAGTGCGCAACAGCGCACATAATATAGATAATATAATATAATATTTACGCAACAAAATTAATGATTTATAAAAACTTTTTTCGAAAATGAAAAAGAAAGAATTTTACCTGTACTATACCAAGCGTAGCGCTAGTTACAGGATCTGAGAAATCACCACCTGGTGGAGAAACGGCACCGACGATACTAACGGATCCCTCTCTGTCTGGATTTCCTAAGCATTTTACCCTATAATGAATATAATAGACTTGCATTATCAATGTAGTCGAACGATTGAAATTTATATTCATTGTATACAGATGACGTACCTTCCTGCACGTTCGTAAAAGCTGGCCAATCGAGCTCCGAGATATGCAGGATAACCAGAATCCGCAGGCATTTCAGCTAAACGACCAGATATTTCACGCAACGCTTCTGCCCATCGGGAAGTAGAATCTGCCATCATCGAAACATTGTAGCCCATATCCCTGAAGTATTCGGACAAAGTGATACCTACAAATGTCGAAATATTTTAGAAATGTCCGATGAGTTCGTTCGTTCGATTCGACTACTATAATCCAGTATAAATTTTTTTACCGGTATAAATAGAAGCCTCTCGAGCAGCTACAGGCATGTTGGAAGTGTTAGCTACCAGAGCCGTACGTTTCATGATGGATTCGGTAACGCCATCGATTTCGACGGTTAATTCGGGAAAATCACGTAACACTTCGGACATCTCATTGCCACGCTCGCCGCATCCTACATATATAATAACGTCGGAGTTGGAATATTTGGACAAAGCTTGAGAAATTACGGTTTTTCCACATCCAAAAGCACCAGGTATAGCCGTTGTTCCTCCTTGTACGCACCTACAGTAATTATATTTACTTGATATAAAATTAACTACAACATAAAATTTCTATCAAGGAAATAATAATTTAATTCATGGAACAGTAAAAAAAGAAAAGAAAAGAAAAGAAAAGAAAAGAAAAGAAAAGAAAGAGAGGAACACATCTACATCTTTTGGCGATAATTTAAAGAACAGTTATCAAAATGGTCTCTCACGGAAAAAGTGAATCTAATACGCGTTGTCCAGTAAGCAACGGATGATTGGCCGGCAATTTTTCCGTAACTGGGCGGGGTTGACGTACTGGCCATACCTTTGAAATTTCAAAAAGAAATTTGTATCGTTTAATATCCTTACAGGAGTCAAATTAGATTTATCATTTATTAGAATAATTATCCTTAATAACCAAATAATCATCGATTTTACCTGAAGCATAGTATACTTTTGCCTCTCGCCGTCAAATTCTGTCTCTAGTACAACATCCTGTAAAGCAATGATAGATATTATATTAATTGACGATGTCAAATTTGGCCACTCGATATTGCAAAGATGCGCGCATCAATTTAAATCAAATAATATCCCTTCGAGGCTCATCCTCTTAGTCCCTAGAATATAAAAAACAAAAAAAAAAACTCACGTCGACCGTATAATTTCCATTTGGCGCGATGTAAGTGACAGTGCCCTTGCTCTTTGGAGGTAAAATCATTCTATGCTTCACTAAGGTATTTTCATAAACTATACCGTAGAGATCACCGCCAGTTATATGACTGCCATTCTTTATATTCGAAGGATTAAATTCCCATGATGCGGTACGTGATAAACAAGGTACATTGATACCCTTTGGTATATAAATGGAATTGGTAAGCTCATTAATATCCTTCAACGGGCGCTGTATACCATCAAAAATACTGCCTAATATTCCAGGGCCCAATTCTACGGACAATGGTTTTCCTGTTCGAAGTACAGGATCCCCTACGGTAACGCCACTGGTTTCCTCGTATACCTATTATATAAATATAATATAGACAAAGGGAGAGTAATAAACGGGAGATGAAAACAATTCCTCAATTCCTTAATTTATTAAATATATGAGATAAGGAATACCTGAATAGTGGCCATGTCCCCTTCTAAACGAATGATTTCTCCTACCAGCTCGTAATACCCAACTCTAACTAATTCATACATAGCGGAGCCTGACATTTTCTCCGCAGTAACAACTACAAATAAATTACAATATGTTCGTTCGTTTTCATATTTTATATTTCTTGAAATTTCTTATTCTACATTCTATTCTACGAAAAGGGAAGAAATATTATGATGAACTAACCGGGCCCAGAAACGGCATAGACATATCCAAATTTAGATTCTTTCTCCTCGTGTCCAATTTTTGACAGCCCGTGGCTCGTCATTGTGTATTTTATTTATACGCTTGAGTGATATCTACCTGTAAGAAAAATTATCAAATAAGGCTTAGAAGTACATTGAAAAATAAGAAAAATATAAAAGTAATATTAAATAGGATTTTAAATATTTCAATAGGAAAAGAATTTTGAAATTATATTCGTTTAATCGATGGATATTTATTAAAAATCGAGACGTGACAGGAGTTAAGGCATAACCGAATAAAATATATATATCTTAATTATCATTAATTGACATTTCAGTTTTAATATAAAAAATAAAAATAAAAACCATTTCGCATGTAATATTATCTTTACAAATAATTTCATATTATATAAGACAATTTTGTAACGCAATGAGAAGTGGCGAAGAATTAATTGTCAGAGATTATCTTTCGAAAACTCACGTGAGAGCAGGCTGTACGAAAAAGAGGCGTAGCCCTGCACTGGCAAAATAATTTTAAAAAGCTGATATTTAAATTTAACAATCGTATAATGACAAGATAATGAGAAATGCGTTTAATTAAATCCATATACGTATAAATATGTACGTTTAAAGCTTATATAGTTATTAAAAGCATACGGTAGCGTATAAAAATTAATCGTTGAATCTAAGACAACGTAAATCGATCGATACTAGGCGAATATGCATTTTGCACAAATATATAAACTTTTTAATATCGATTAAATACATTTTATTAAATATGTTTTTATTTATAGAAGAATTAAATATAAAAAAATATAAAATTATAGACATAAAAACGATGGAAAACTTACAACAACGTTCAGCGTTTCATAAAGCGAATACACCCGATACGACTGGTAGAGGCTGGTGGCTGCTATCACAAGACGGGTCAGCTGACTGCCCGATGTGCTGATTTTCAACTGAACATAAAGCCAATCAATTCTTCGGGCGCTTTACAATAAACGACCCTACGACAATTGCTATTGGTTTATGTTAAAACTGTACGTATTTGGATCTTTTTATTGGATATTCTATCCATTCGAAATTCTTTTCGACTCGCACTATTCTTCGCACTATTCTGTTGGACATAAAAAAATGTCAGAAATTGTTATTAAAAGTATCTTTTTATTATTCGAAAAAAAAAAATCAAAAAACAAAAAAACAAAATGTCCTTTTGTCAATAGAAAGTATCGTTCAAATATTACAGGTTCATGAATATATAATTGAATATTTTATCGATATAATAATAATCGCGATTCACTTCACATGCACGAATCAGAAAAAGTAATTGGTTGTATATATATATATATATATATATATATATATAGACACACACACCATATGTGCACGTTAATTATAAGTACGATAATCACGAAAAATATAGGAATGATTATTTTACACGATGAAACTTATTATAAAGAAAGAAGACCACAACCGGATTTGGGCCCGGTTAAAAATATTTTAAGATTTATTTGGAATAATGAAAAAAAGACACTTTTCGACAGAACTGTAAAAGAGTGGGGTAAAAATATAATCTATTTGTATGATTTCCCTTTTCTAAGTACAATATTATTTTACTAAAATTATATCAATTATCGCGCGCACACACATACAGAGAGCGGAGCAAATTTATTTCTCTCTCTCTCTCTCTCTCTCTCTCTCTCTCTCTCTCTCTCTCTCTCTCTCTCTCTCTCTCTCTCTCTCTCTCTCTCTCCTCAGTTTCTCAGAAATTAATAATTATATATAATACTTGTTACGTATATGGATATTTTGTGATATAGAAATAATGAGATTATATACATATATATATATATATATATAAACGAAACAGGTGAAGTGGTCATCTTTTATATTTTCTTTTTTGGTATTCTCGGTTTAATATTTGCATTGCAAATGCACTTGAGCCTTTCATATATAAAGGATTTAAAAAAACCGTTCTTTACGTACAGTGGTTTGCTCAATGTTAAAAGTATTTTAGAAGATCTTCGTTTATTACCGACATCGTTGATTATCGAAAATCCAGGTTATTCATCTATTAATTTCATTTTTTTTCTTCATTTATTACTCTTTTATATTTTATTTCTTAACATTTTGCACAGGAATCGGTTACAAACCGAACATTCCATTACCGCTTACTTCGCCGATCATTTGGATAAGCGAAACTAATAAAAATGCTCGATCGAAACGATACGTTCAAGCTTTAACGGACTTTCTAAAAGGTACGCAAATATATATAGAGCTCGCAAATATAATTTTTTCTTTCATAACAAGCCCAGTGTACGATAATAGTTTTGGAGAAAAAAGAATAAATGAAAAAATATTAACGAAAAACCATGTTACACAGATTACACGATGAATAGCTCGCAACGAGAATTAAAATGCAGTGAGGGTCAATTGAGACCATATAGTAAATTAAAGCCCTGTTTCTTCGATGTAAAAAGTCTCGGTTCTTGCGGAAAAGCCCCTTATGGATATACAATACCAATTCAGCCCTGTGTTCTAATTAAATTCAATAAAGTAAGTTCATTTTCTTTCTTTCATTACTTTTTCATTAAATATCGATTATAAATCGATCTTTACGATTACAATTACTTTATGCTATTTATTGCACTTTTTTTTATACTTATACTTATAAGAACTTGATGTCGCGCATTGTAGAGACTTGGTTGGATTCCGCGTTATTATAATCGATCCTCTATATTACCACATAATATGCCAAATTTTTTGAAAAGGATCATCAAGAAATCGGATAAAGTACGTCGTTTAAAATCCATTAAATAAAATTCTAATGTAAATACTTTAATCATACGTATGCGTTATGTTACGTAAAATAGGCCTATATTTGGTTATCTTGCAATGGAGCAGACAATATAGACAAGGAACATATTGGAAAAATTGAATACATTCCTAATCCTGGCTTCCCCATTGAATATTTTCCGTTTAGTGGGCAAAAGGACTATGTATCTCCTGTTGTTGCTATAAAATTTAAAAATCTTACACGTAACTTTACTTTTAATATCATAAATTCAATGCAGAACGATTAAAAACGTATTGCAATTAAGTTGTCGGATATAGGAATATTATGAAGAGATATTTTTAATATATAATAAAATATTTTCCAGCAAATAGACTTTTGACGGTACAATGTATAATATGGACCTCTAATGTAATAGAACATACCAGTTATTATATGGATTTTCAGATAATTATTGGTAAAAGATTATATTTATTTTTACAATTTTTATATTTTTCAAAACTAAATATTGATATGTTATAACAATTATATATTGCAGAAAAATGATCGATCTAACTGCAGACATTATACACGGGATCAGCTCAAAGTAAACGCCTAGCAAGAAATAGAATGAATGTAATAAGACTTATGTTTATTATGCGATTATAAAAGTTAATTTCTTTTTTATTTCTTATATTTCATTTGAAGTAAAATTAATTTAAAATCTATATAAAATCACTTGAAAATATATAAACTAATATAAATAATTTATGACATTTGACAAAAATAAAGAATTACTGGTTCAAATAATATTAATATTAATGGTAATATTAATATAAATTTCATACGCTTATTAAATATTTTCTATCGAAATATATTATAATTAATATTATAATTTCGTAAAATCGTTGATCATGCGTAACTATAAGACGTAACTATCGCTGATGACAGGAGATCGTCCTAGGGCTGACTCGCCTCCCGACGATCTCTCGAAACTGATACTAATCTATCATCGTTGGTCGTTTGTCCATGATCTTGCTCGATTTTCTCATTAATATTTCAATACTTGTCGAATGAAACTATCGATAAAACATTTTCTTTAGTTCATTCGTCGTGTCGCCCTAAAAACAACACCGTTAACATTGCCGTTGTCGAGTTACTTTCGTTCACTTTTTCCACTCGTAAAAAAAAAAGTACCCGAATAACAAGGTTGATTCATTCCAGAGACTATACTCAAGTACTTGTCAATGTGAATTTGATGAAAGTTGTTATCTTTAAAATAAAACATAAAAACGCGCAAAAAGATACAATCACGGAAATACCGTACATTCGATAGAATTAACGTATTAGTGGGTGGTATGTGTGCACATACATATACATACATACATATATATATATATATATATATATATATATATATATATATATATATGTGCGCGCATACAGTAGTAACCGCAACACCAAAATCCCTACGAAATTAGTATTTCCATGTTTTATTGATTCGAGTAAGGAAGCACGTATTTGTACTTTAGTACGTATTGTATGAAGGAGAAGAAAGCTTTGATGCCATCATGATGCGAAAAACAATTTAAGACGACGTTAAAATATCTAAAATTGCATTTGGTATTTAATTTCTTATTTATTTTGTATCTTTTATAAGGAAAGAGACATTGGAAGCGACTGTAGCACCATCGGCGGATTTTCGAACGTGACAGTAGCGAAGTGGGGGCGCAATGGAAGGTCCGGTTTAGCGATTACGTCTCGGAAGGAGTGTTGACATTTATTTGAACGGTACGGGAGAATATGAATAGGCGAAAAGGAAGAATTTTTGGAATAATAACGAATAGACTTTTGTGACTCATTTTTATATTGGAATGTATTAATCAATGGTGCTTGGTGTCTGTTCCATGACTACATGCTATTAAAAAACTTTGTGCGCGTGAGGGCTTTGGCTCGAACTGCAACGCGCCATATTGGTTTGAGACAATTGCTCAAGTTAGTGGGGGCCTGACTGATACAACTTTTCTATCAAACCAACGTAGAATTATTTATTTCACGATCATGGAGGAAACCAAAATTATATACCATATTGACGACGAAGAAACACCTTATTTGGTGAAGCTGACTATATCACCGGAGAGGGTGACTTTGGCAGATTTTAAAAATGTCCTCAACCGACCGAATTACAAGTATTTCTTCAAATCAATGGACGATGACTTCGGGTTGGTGTTCAATTGATATAAATATATTTAGTAGGATTAAATTTAAATGAATATTAAACGTTCATATTTTTCGATCGTCATCATTGATAACGTTACATCATATTTTTTTATTGTTTCGAGATAAATGTCAAGCCATTATAATGATGATACGCTCTATGTGTTATTTCAAGATCGAATCTTATGTAGATATATACGATACGTATGATACTTGTCTTATTTTTCGCTCGCCGCACTCGTTTATTCGGCCCTTTGTTTATGGAAAATCTTTATAGATCCTATGTTTCTCTCTGTTTATTTCAATAGTACGCGTATTCCGATAATACGCTGTGTGTATTTCGATTGAAAGATAATTATATACTCGCTTTGTGCGTGTGCGTGCGCGTGCGGGGTAAATTCTTTCATTTTAACCTTCCTCTCTATTTTATTTTTCTACTAGAGTTGTGAAAGAAGAGATTGTAGATGACGATGCGCATCTTCCATGCTTCAATGGACGAGTAGTCTCATGGGTAAGACATGTTTATCTACATTATTATTTAAATAATTTCTATATGATATTATATTCTTAAATATTTAAGAGACACACATATTTAATATCCATATAAATACATACTCACAAGCTTATACTAAATATAAAAGAAATATACTCATATGTGATATATATTGTAAGGCTTATTTATTGTCTTATTATTTATTGACTTTTTGTGGAGCATTATTCAGTATTAGTATTTATTAAATTTATCAATTTTCATTTATTATCATGATACATTTTTTAAGAAATATGTTTCTCTAAAAGATATATATATATATATATATATATATATATGCTTTATATAACAAGTTTCAATGCGTATAATATTGAATCTTAAAACATTTATGTTTAATTTTGACAGTTGGTGTCTGCCGAAGGCAGTAATGTATCGGATGGTGTTTCACATTGTACCGATTCTGTAGCGCATAGTGATGTAAAGCATGATCGTGTTGATCATGTAACACCAGGACATACGAATCGTGGTCCACCGCCGCTTTCGCATGATGATACATTAACAGAAACTGAAAGTATTATAAGTAGCCGACAAGGACATCATTTACATAAAAGTTCAAGACATCATACAGACAAATATGAGAAATATAACAAATATAATGGTTTGTGTGTATGCCAACATAAATTTGTAAGAATGTATTTGGTAAAAAAAAAAGAAAAAAAGAAAAAAAAAGAAAAGAAAAGAAAAGAAAAAAGGAAACGTAAATTAATATATTTTTATGCATTTTATTGCATATAGGATTGCGAATAAATGGTCATTCCAAGCATCGTTCTGGTCATGGCTATGAAACTGCCTCCATATTGAGCTCAGATCTAGAAACGACAACATTTTTAGAATCGGATGATGATGCAAGTAGTCGTATTACATCTACAACAGGTCGTCATACTAATATGAGTAGTGCAGTTGACAGGGCAACTTTAGGTTAATATGTAATATCATTTACATTTTAATCGAAGCTTTTTTTATTTATTTTTAGTTCTGCCTTAATTACTTTCAGATATTTATTTAGCTAAATTTTCATATTTATTTTCTGCGTATTAGATCGACGTAGACCTCAAAGAAGAAGAAGACACAGATTACCTCCTATGTCTCGAACATCCTCATTTAGCAGTATCACAGATAGCACAATGTCTTTAAATATCATAACGGTTTCATTAAATATGGACACTGTCAATTTCCTTGGAATAAGTATTGTTGGACAAAGTAATAAAGGTGGAGATGGAGGAATTTATGTTGGATCTATAATGAAAGGGTATGATACTTGATTTATTTAGTCTTATTTCATAAAATTATTCTTCATATTAAATCCTCATATACGTACATACGTATATACGCTCGCGCGCGCGCGCGTGTGTGTGTGTGTGTGTGTGTGTGTGTGTGTGTATGCACTATTATTGAATACATGCTTATCGCTATGCATTATTATACAGAAATTTATATGCATATATTATTACATAATTCTCTGTATTATTCATGTGAGAACAGAGCCCTAATATCATGAAATTTAGCACACACATACATACACACTCGCACACGCACGCACTCATTATATATGTATATATATCTGAATGTGTGCCGGAGCTTTATGTATTTCCAAATATTTCTTTCCTTATCTGATACAATAAAAATTGATTGTCCAGCAAATACAAGAAAATACTTAGATATTTTATATTTTGTAATGTACAATATTTTAGAAGTTATCTCGATTATTACAAGAAATCTATTTCAAACATACTGCAAATTTGTCTTTTATTAATTTATAATAATTGATAAGATAATTTCATTCACATTTCTACTTGTTAAATATTTTTCCATGGAAATAAATTTTTGTAATTGATATAGGGGAGCTGTAGCTTTAGATGGCCGAATAGAACCTGGTGACATGATTCTTCAAGTTAATGATATTAATTTTGAGAACATGTCAAATGATGAGGCGGTAAGGGTTCTACGTGAAGTTGTGCAAAAACCAGGGTAAGAGAGAATTTATTTATCTTAAATATATTATATCTGTTTGTAAATGTGTGCGTACTATTTTATCGAATTATTTGAAAAGAAAAAAAAGGATATTTTTGTTTAAAAAAAGAATAAATAAAAAGAAAATCTCCTCCATTCATATATTCTTACAATAAGGATATACATTTCTTTTTCATTTATTTATTTAGTTATTTTTGTTTCCTTTAGACCTATCAAATTAGTTGTCGCAAAATGTTGGGATCCGAATCCAAAAGGTTATTTTACCATACCAAGAACAGAACCAGTGCGTCCTATAGATCCGGGTGCATGGGTGGCACATACAGCGGCTATACGAGGCGAAGGTTTCCCACCTCGTCCGCCAAGTGCAACAACATTAACATCTACATCAAGTAGTCTTGCAAGTACTTTACCAGATACAGAACGTAAGTTATACTAATCACAATACATACACAGACCCACACGCACACACACACACACACACATACACACAATATTTAATTGTGTTTAATAATTGTTATAATTTCTTTTGAATAGGACCACTAGAGGAACTTCACCTTACCATTAATACAGACATGCCAACAATAGTACGTGCCATGGCACGTCCTGATTCGGGTCTGGAAATTCGTGATCGCATGTGGCTTAAAATTACAATTCCAAATGCATTTATCGGGGCAGATGTTGTTGATTGGCTTAGCACACATGTAGAAGGAATTATTGATCGTCGTGAAGCTAGAAAATACGCATCATTAATGTTAAAAGCTGGATTCATCAGACATACTGTGAATAAGATCACATTTTCCGAACAATGTTATTATATATTTGGTGATCTGTGTTCTGCAATGAGCAGCATGAAATTAGATTGTGATACGGTTGGACCTTTGCCGCCTCCTAACGCTTGGGACATGCCTTACTCAGGGACCTATGCACCTCATTCTGCGACTGGTTACAGTCCAATGCCATTTAATTTTACTAATGAACCAACTGTATATGGATATCATAGAGAGGAAAGTGTTCATAGTGGTTCAGGTAAGATTTATTGTCAATTGAAATTTGTCATTTATACTGTTCGCATACGATCCTTTGATATCGTTGCTTGAGAATATTGACAACAAATTATATTTCATACATTTATATATGGAAAGATCTCACTGTGCCGATTATACGGCCATTCATCGATTTATTAGGTGGTAGCAGTGCAGGTAGTGAACATATTTGTAAGGAACCTATCCACGACTTGAAGTCTTGTTCTTCAGCATCCGAATCGGAATTACATATCCCATCTGTGCCAAGTATGCCAAGTAAGAATTCTGGTAATGGGAATGGTTCGAATGGTAAAAGGTCAAATGGAAGCCATAGTCGGTCCAGTGGATCTGAGCAATCTGTACAGACAGGAACTGGTTCCGGAACTCAACAAAATCAACAAGACTTATCTGGTAGTAGACAGTCATTTCGTATTGCGATGGGCAATCCTTGTGAATTTTTTGTCGATGTTATGTAGATGCCTAGTATTGTGTAAATAGATAACTTATAAGTCTGACTGAGAACATAGGATATGATAGAATGTTACGCGATATCTTATGTATATGACATAACAATAAGTACATTGTGTGTATGTGTGTGCGTGTGCGTGCGTGTGTGTGTGTGCGTGTGTGTGTGTGTGTGTGGGTGGGTGTGCCCGTGTGCGTGCGTGCATCTATCTATGTATGTATCTATGTATGTATGTATGTATGTATGTATGTATGCACACACACGCGCGCCACCGCGAGCACACATACACATACATACGTACATATATATAAACTTTTACATTGTCTGGCTGGCTTGTACTTTGGATATTGATTTAAGATGTTTTTTACGATTCATGTTAATACGTTATACAATCTAATTACTACATCCATCTATTAGTGTAGCTATGATCAATATCATTCCTTGCATGATAGTATAGTATTCATTCATTAATTTGGTATATATAGCCTGCAATATTTTTGGTATTATTCATGTGTATTAATACACATTTGCACTATGCTGTGTAATAAATTTTTAGTTTTAAACCTATTTAACATATTTTTATTTCAATATTTGCATGTATTACATAAATGTAAATACTAATGTCTTTTTATATAATAACCTTGATATAGTACGGAATATTATAATATCTTTGACAATATTAAAATAATTTAAACAAATTTTAAATAATGTTAATGATATCTCAGTTTTTTTATTGGTTCTATCGCCTAAAATATTTTCAACGAATAATTAAATAATATAATGTAGTACAAGATTAAATTGAAAATGTAATATAAAATTATCTTCGCTCCGTCATGCGAAAGGATACTTAAATTATTAATTATTTCTTTCTTTTTTTTTTTATTTTTGTAAGTAGAAGTGTTTAGAATTTTATGTCGAATAATATTGGTATTAGTATTAATAGAGTGAATAGATAAAACTTATTTTTTAGAGATAGAATAACAATATTGACATTGATAGTAACTATATCGACAACAAAGCGACTATATTAACGACAATAACAACAATATTAGTAATAGAAATAGTAATAGTAATAATAATAAAGAGAAGAAAAAGAAAAATAAGTTCCAAACAGATTTTGAATTCATTAGATTTGTGACAGACATACTATTTTGGCTAAACTGCGTGTAGATTGGATGAAAACATAACAAGTATAGTTATACTATAATAGATGTACCAGTAATTGATTTTTTTGTAGTAGATTAAAATTTGATATAATCATAATATATAAATTAACACTGGTTTTATATATTAAATAATTGCCATTTTATTGGACGTTATTAGATTATTATTAATCCATGAAGATATTATGTACAGTTTAAAGCCAATTTCTTGCTGAAAACTTTCTGGAAAATTTACTCTCATGTTTATGTCAGTATTTATTCCTTCATATAAGTATGAATGTCTATAAATAGAATCCATTCAATATGTTCGTGTGTACATATAAACAGCTTATTTCTATATCAGTGCATTTAAAGTTACTCTTAAAAAATAGAGATATTATTATAATTTTCCATAAAATTAATTGTTAGATAGTAGTGTATTAAAATATGAAATTACTTGTATGAATTACTTATTTATCACTGGAAATCTATTTCTTCTGTAGTAGATGCACAGTGATATACGCTTTAATCTTAATGTAATTCTACTTGCAAAAGCATGATAGCACAAAATGTAAAGCACAAGCATGATCACAACAATAACACTATTGACAGAAATGTATGTTAAAATATGGTGTTAATAGCATATAGTGCATGTGTACCTGTATGTAATAAATGGTCTGTAATAATATTAATATTTCTCCATTCATTGCATTTTAGGACTGTCTACGACAATGGGCCAACTATTCCTTTAAAATCAACAATGTACTATTCCATGTACTGAACGATTCACCAACTGTTGCCTTAAATAATCTTTATATGATGAAGAATGTGTAAAGTCAGGCATTTGCCAAATTTATAAAGGCACATTATGCAATAGTTGATGCATCGTTTGATTATTATTATTATTATTATTATTATTATTATTATTATTATTATTATTATTATTATTATTATTATTATTATGATTATTATTAGTAATAGTAGTAGTAGTGCTAGTAGTAGTAGTAGTAGTAGTAGTTGTAGTTGTAGTTGTAGTTGTAGTAGTAATAGTAGTAGTAGTAGTAGTAGTAGTAGTAGTAGTAGTAGTAGTAGTAGTAGTAGTAGTAGTAGTAGTAGTATTACTATTACTATTATTACTACTACTATTACTACTACTACTATTACTACTACTACTACTACTACTACTACTACTGCTACTAATACTACTACTATTACTACTACTACTACTACTAGCACTATTATTATTATTATTATTATTATTATTATTATTATTATTATTATTATTATTATTATTATTATTATTATTATTATTACTATTATATGTGTGACACGGACGCTTTTATTTTATTCTAAACATCTAAAATTATCTGAATGAAAAAAGCTGTTCACAACTGTATTATTTGGTATAACACCATGAAAGGTTCGATAATGTGTACATATATAATGTTAAATCATTCTCGTATTAAATGTGCCATCTTATCTGTGTTAAAAGTACAAGGAAGCAACAAAACTTGTACACGTATTTTTCAGGTGTATGCACTTATTAATGATATTTTATAAAAAATATTTTTGATTACATTTTCCTTTTCATTATATAGTAAAATTTATTTATTATACACTTTCATTTTAAAACAGTTTTACAATATAAATTATTATATATTCTTAGTACAAAAAATGCCTTCTGCATTTATACAAAGAAACGATTTGATCGAAAATATGATTTTGTGCATACTTCTAGGACCGAAATATTGTATATAAAATTGTGTTCACTTTCAAATTATATTACGGTTGATTCTTTTTCATGCACTGCATAGTATTTAGAATATATTTTCTTTTAAAATTTATGAATTCAATTGCTAAACACGAGTGTGGTGTATGTATATATAAATATATATGTATGTGTATATATATATATATATATATATATATATATATATGTGTATATATATACACACATATATATTATTGCAAATTTTATGTATTTGTTGTTTCACAATAATAGGAAGAACAATTTTGTAAAATCAAATCTACGCAATTTTTCAAATTTCATTTTTATGGTCGAATTTCGATTTTATTATATAATAATTTATTAATGATAATATTTTCTTTCATATTAATTAAATAAATTATTATAAACGTTAATAATTATAAATATTGCAACTTGTTTATAGACATACTTTGGAAACCCATTATATATGTATTGTATATATGATAGATATAGATACATAAAATTGCTTACTGAATAATAACCAATGATATGGTGTGTATATATATATATATATATATATATATATATATACACATATATATGAAAGTTTGTAGAAGATTTCATACATTAATTGATAATATGGTAGTTAATAACGGTAAAAAGGTAATTGTCATCACTATAACTTGTATGGAAAATTGCATAGTGAAATTGAACGTTTTAATTTAACAAATTATGCATCTCTATCTATATGTATGTATCGTGAAAACTAGTTACAAAAGTTTTTCGTCAATATTATCACTCTATTATCTCATTATAAATCATTGTAAAATATAAAAATATTTTATGTTGCCGACAGGTTTGATATAATATGTCTGAGCACCTCAAGAGTTTCACTCTTTTAATAAACTTACTAAATAATTTCATATCATCAATAATATTTAAATATTTTGTTGGTTTAAATACGATGGATTTTATTGATATATTTTGCGGTTCACAGACATATCATTGGTTTAATTTTTGTTTTTTCACTTCTGCTGCTCTAAAAGGTCGCGTCTGCTTTTTATTTTGAAAATTGATAGCCACTCAATTTACTTTCTGACTGCTGTTATATGCATATGGATTTTTATTATGTCAAAGACATGATAGAATCCTTTTTGTGCCTTGTGCTGCGCTGATGGTTTATGCAGGGCGACGTATGCACGAAGAATGTCGCACGCAGACAAGTAATTTGGACAACAATACCAGAGATAATATTTGTGAGTGTAGTTTTATTTTAATATTTTCTTTTAGATTTCATTAAAGAGAATAGAATGATTATGATTACAAGGTTTGGCTACTTGTGCGACAGTAATCTGAGTATGGACTTTTATTGTTTCGAAAGAAAACTATTATTCTGTATTTGCAGAGAGGCAGTACCTTTCGACAATAGTAAAGAAAAAGAAAAAAAAAAAAAAAAAAAAAAAATAAACAAATAAAATTTATTGCACCATTGATGTTTAGCATTTGATATGCTTGCATTTGTATTATTATTATATACACACTTTTGACAGATTATATTTTTGAATTATCATTGCACAAACATTATAATTGCAACAGAATGTATGTGTATTTAAGTGTATAGCGCCCTTTTAGTGCAGTAGATATATGACATTATGTACTTTGGAACATGAAATATTTTTATTCTTTACAGATGAAGAAGACATTTTGGAGTACCAGTTTCTGCATAAGTGAAGATCTCTGTTATCACGTAATACGTATACACAATGACATTAATAGACGTTAACAGGAAGTTATGGTATAATTCCACGTCGTTTTATTAAGTGGACGGAAGTAGCACACGCGAAACATATGTTTATATATTTAATAGGCCAATTTTGATAAAATGCTGTAGAAGGTAAAATGTCCAAGCTCATGTAATAATGATTTATAATGTCTATACATAATAGAATTAAGGTCATTGGAATCTCTGTGTGACAAATGTGTCCTTTTTTGAAATGTTGGTACGGTTTGTGTTAATTCATACGAAACATTTGCAGTAACAGGGGTTGTATTACTTATGCAGTATTCTTTGTGCATACATGCATGCATACATGTATATCTATACTCGCACGCGCGCACACGCACACACGCACACACACACACACACACACACACACACACACATGTATATATATGTATGTATGTATGTATATATTACAAATTACTGCAAACACGTGCAGGTTGACAGAGCTTATTAATTCTTGTAAGTACGTCAAGTACTAGCTCCTGTTTGATAACGCTTTTCAAACATATTCCCATTCTCACATTAATCGTTATTAATAATTATATTTTTTCAACTTTCCATTATTAGAGAGCAATCTTTGTTTCCGAATTGTTTGAAACGTTATATCTCGTAAAATCTTTAATATCCTTATCTTTTTTTTTTTTGCTTTCTATAAAAAAAGGAAAATTTTGAAAGCAAAATGGAAAACGGAAAAATGAAAGAAGTTTCCAATATAATAAATACTATGTGTAAACTCTTTACACACACGACAATATAATTTGCCCCCGTCGTAAAAAATATCGAAATAAAGAAAGTGTCAAATTTATAGAATATGGAGACTATTTGGGCATTTGTATACGTTATCTTTTCGAAGGTGGGAAACATCTCGTTGCATTAAAATTAATTGTGATATTATACAGAAATTTGAACAAACAGGAACGGATATCAGAAGTGCAAAATAAAAAAAAATAAAAAAAGTAAAAATAATAAACAAGTAGAAGCGTAGCAACGAGACAAAAGGAAATGTGCCGGTATAATAATCTATGTAGCCAGCCTGTACACATACACATATACAGACACACAAAACATTTACCAAACTGTTGAGGTCTCAACATAGAATCGATAATATTCATTCCGATTTTTAATGGGTCATGAACGTCATTTTTTAAGTGCGCATACTAAGAACTCACGGAATATGTATACGCATATATAAACACATATAGATATACATATTATATTTATTTATAAAGGAATGTATATACATTTTTTATTGTTTTTACCGAAAATTCTTTATGTGTATAACTTGCGTGGAAACAACTCGTGCGTTTTTGAACCGCTGTGAGTATTACGTAATAAAGTAATTAACATTAACGACGTGTACAGAATGTATTTCATTGGTGACATGGAATGTCTTTTTGATAATTCATTATTATTCGTAAAAAATTGTAAACATTAGTAGGGCAAAACATTAAAAAAGGCAAAATATAAAATAATGAACGCACTGTTCAAGGCATAAAATTGACTTACGATTTTCTTGCTTTTACAATGAAATTTGAAACAAAGCTTTTTTATGTTTTTTCTTCTGTTTTTGTTTTATTTTTCCTTTAATTTTACATTCATTCGGTTTCGTAGATAAATCGAGTTAAAAATATATTCTATTGAACGAAGGATAACTTATTGCAAAATTATACTTGATGAAGGCAATATATATATATATATATATATATATATATATATATATATATATATATATATATATATATTGTGTGTGTGTGCGTGTGATCTATTTTGAAAGGATATTTTTTATAATTATCTACGGCTATGTTACCAAACTGAGCATTTGTTAATAGGATTCATAGGTGTACCAAGGGGACAATGAAAGACATCCGCGAAAGCTTTTGAATTCGACAGCGTACCGATCACGCGGAATTTTCCAGGAGCATGAACAGCAATTCTTAATTTATTTTTAGCAGCTTCTGGTCGCATTGAACCACACCAAACTTGAGCGAAATTCAAAAAGAACAATTGCCTTCCGGTTGCGCTAATACCAGGCAGAGTCTCGTCCTTATCGCCATTTATATACAACCATCTTTCATAAGCCTATAACATCATTTTTATCATCTTTTACATGTATAAAGATTTTGTATAATATCCCTCATATTCCAAAGAGAAAGATTATTATTTACTTTAAATGCTTGTTTGATGCCTCCATTATCAGCGATATTCTCTCCTTGTGTATTTATACCGTTGATTTGTGCGCCAACTTCGCTTACTGTATAGCGGCTATATTGGTCTAAAATATGGCTGAACTTTTTTATCGATAATGAAGTATATTCAAGACAGACTATATATATTGATGCGATACCAATGAATTTTTTACCAATAAGACATTTTGCTCTTTCATGGAAGCCATTGATATCTTCGTTTTTCCACCATCTGTGTAGATTGCCATTCTTATCGAACAATCTACCCTTGTCGTCGAAACCATGGGTAATTTCATGACCGATCACTACACCGATGCCTCCGTAATTCAAGCTCTTTGGAAAGTATCTGTGATAAAAGGGCGGTTGTAGTATCCCCGCTGGAAACACTGAGATGGGGGAGTACAAAATGAGAAATGCAATAAATCCCATTGATATTCGTGGATCAGATTAGATTTCTACCTTGATACCTTACACATAGCGTGTTTCACCATATTGCGATATTAATTCTCATAATTAAATATATAATATTAGTAAACAAATTATTGATTATAATTGACGCCAATGAAATTTCTATGCCGATTTAATAATTGATTTTCTTACGACGAAGAAAGGAAGGAAGGAAGGAAGGAAGGAAGGAAGGAAGGAAGGAAGGAAGGAAGGAAGGAAGGAAAAACTGGTGCAACCAAAATCTAATAAAAAATATCATTGATGTAATATCGGAAAGAGGACTGACTTATCTGATTTTTGTAGCGACTATAATAAGCGTTGACAACTGCAGGCGCGGTATTCCACAAAGTCTTATTAACCGAACTACCAAGACGATCTTGTTCCACTCTTGTCAAATGTTGTAAAATATTTAATGTATTCTCAAAGTATTTATCCGGATGGATTACGACCTGGACAGTAGATCAAATCAAAATGGATTGTCCTTATAATAAAACGGATAATGATATTGAGAGTATTTAATCGACGTACATCCTTATAACGTTCATTTAATAAATGTGGCTGTAGGATAAAGTCGGGATAGCCGATTCTTAAAAGCATAGCATTTACTTTTTCGCTGGCTAATCGTTTCGTCTCGTTGTCAATCCAAGTAGTTTGATTCAGTAATGCCCTAAATGATTCTTGTATCTCTCGTGTCATGGATAACGTCTACATAATTAAAAAATTATTATATATCATTATAATCGAAAAATGGTATTCTTTTGTTGAATTAGTTATTTTATCGAATAATCGAATAACTTACATCATTTTTACTCTTTTCATCAAAATATTTTCGAACGAACATGGAACCAACGGCTATACCCATATTGGCATTGACCTGTGATACACAATTCTTCCATCTAGGAGGGGCTTGTTCTATCCCAAAGAGAATGTAATAAAACTTTTGTTTAGCTTCTTGAAATCGATCATCTAAATTGTTCACTCTGTGACGTACGAATCTCCATAAAAGATAATTTGCTATAGTTCTAAAAAACACAAAAGCAAAAAGAAAAAAGGACGAAAACTGTTGTTAGAATCTCAGTTGTATAGCTAATCCCAAAATGGTAAAGGACATAAATATATTCACCTGGGTTCAGTTTTTGAGAGTAAATTCACCAAATCTTGAATATATTGTAAGGCAAATACGACAACCGGTTCAGAAGTATTTACGGGACGTGCTAAAACGATCGAAAGATATTTACGCCAATCGATTTGAGGCACCATCGAACACAATTCACCAATGCTCATTTTTTGATAAAGTTCTGAAATGTTCCGTCTTTCGTCGGGTGAAAATGTTATCTATGAGGAACGTAATGATAATAATAATTATTATTTTTTCTTCTTTTTCTTATTCTTATTGTTATGATTATTATTGTTGTTGTTGTTGTTGTTGTTGTTGTTGTTGTTGTTGTTATTACTGTTATACCTTCGCGAGCTTCGTTTCGAATTCTATCAATTGATTTGCATGAACAGTGGCATTTTGCAAAGAAGCACCAAGAAGGGTTACTATTTTAATGAAATAATCTTTATAAGCGTTCAGATAAATCATATTAGATGGCTGAAGAAAGTAATCTCTTGTAGGGAGACCAAGGGACGTTTGATCGAACTGCAAAATATCGAAGAAAATTTGACGTTATTATCCGTATTTAAAGAACCCGCAAGGATTTCAAGTTATTTTAATATCACATTCTCACTTGTATAACATATTGGTCACTATTTTTAATGTCCGGTCCAACCCATTCGGAAATAAGGATATTATTATTATATAGACGCAACTGTGCGACCAAAAGCAACCAGTCGAACTTATCGGCATCCCAATCGGACTTTAAAATTGGCCAGCCACCGAGTTCCTCTAAAAGTTTTAGCACCGGCTGTTCCATACGTTGCTCCAAGATCTCTAGGCACATGTCATTTATGCATTTAATCGTTACCTAAGAAAAGGAAATTAATATTCGGCTGGATCGATTTTAACTCACCGTAATTCATACAACTCTGAAAATGATACTTTGCTTTGATCGTTGCGTCGTCAGTATTTAACCTGACGTTATGCGGAACTTTGTCCTCCAGTAATTCTTTCAAAACAATATCTAATGATTCTCTTAACATCTCGAAGGTGTCGTAGGCCGCCTTATCCTTTGGAATGGGATTACGTTTCTCCCAGTTTCCACAAGCATACTGATAAAAATCTTGACACGGATTGGCAGTCTTATCCATGTATTCTAACATTATCCTTGCTAAGATAAGGTATCAGCTCTTAATATGAGCCATAAAATGATCGATAAAACTGATCGGTATGCAGCATCTTGCATACCTTGAGCCTCTCTGATGCTTTTCGCGTTTCCTTCGTCTTTCCAAAATGCATGGAAATCATCGGCTGGGGCGTCTTTATCCTGGTGATCGGGTATAGGCCATCGTCCGTAGGCGTTGCCAATGGAAACGGAATAAGTGCTAATCCGCTCGGTATGATCAATTAGCCGGTCTTGCGATCGTTCATTCGTCTTATCCTTAACGTTTCGATATCTTTGATTCAATGATCCAAAATCTAATTGCTCTTTTTCTTCCGTAACCATGTGCTCCGTCTTTTCCTCTCTACGCGTAGAACGCAGAATGCAGAACGAAGAACGAAGAACGAAGAACGAAGAACGCAGAATGCGATTAGAAACGCTACGTGAACGTAGGATGAAAATGAGAAAAGGGAGTACCAACTTCGAGTAGTCTTCGTAATCCTGTATATCGCTGTATGCGTAGGGCTCATCGAATTCTAATTCTGGATTATAATCGAGTAGAAAATAATCCGTTTCGTCGTTCGACGTACCTGTAGTCGTTTTCTGAGTGACGCCACTAGCTATCTGTGTTAAAATCAATCTCGAACTTCGCTATGATATGATTTTCAAAGATTTGCTTAATTATTTTATGTGGGGTTTACTACTTACGACTACTTTCTCCTTAGACAGGATTTTCTCGCGTATTTCGTCGATCGATTTGATACCGCTGTAATCGTTCCTTTCTTCGACCGTTGTTTCCTGCAAACAAACAAAAATAAGTACATAAATAAGATTAGATAAAATTAAACCGATGAGACTTTGCTTGAATCCCCTATTTACATATATATACATATACATATACATATATATATGACACACACACAAACACACACATATATATATTACCGCATCCGTATGCCTCTTCCGTCGTTTCGAGGATTGTATTAAAAAATGAACGTTTGTCGGTACGTAACTTGTTTGAATTTCGGAGATACGAATTTCATCTTCATCTTCATTCCCATCGACAGAGTGCTGTATTTCTTTGCTCTCGGATGATCGGAGCAAGGTATTATAATTTTCAACGAAATTATTCTTAGTTTGTTCTTGAGAATTGCGAATAGCGCTAAATGTACGACGATGGGGTAATTTATCGGTGATTTGCGATCGCGATAAAGCAATGAAAATTATAGTGATTGGCAATAAAACCGCAGGAATCAGTAGCATTAGTCTGACGCGAAATCGCCAAGTATCGTCGCCTTCTGTGCACCATCTAATGAAAATATTAAAAAAGATAAAGAAACGAATAATTAACAAAGAATAAAAAATGGAGAGCAAATTTCACAAACTACGTACTTTAGTCTACCGGTTTCCTCATTAATAGCAAGTCGACAAGGTGGGCAAGGGCCACCGTCGCTGAAGAAATCGTCGTCGTTGTATTGGCTCGTATTGTTTCCCCTCATTTTACTTAAAAAACAAATATACATATATACATACATACATATATATATATATATATATATATAATACAATATTATCATCCTTGCAAAGATATGGTGTACTACAAATATTAACCATTTGTCGTAGAACTTTATTTTTAAGTAAGATGAATCTGGTGTAAATGTTGAATAAAAAATATAAAAAAACATTTTGTGTCGAGGATATTATAGATAAGTAACTATGATCGTTCTAATGTTCCATCCAAAATTATAAGACGCGAATGTGCATTAGCCTTCTTCATAAATATTTAATTAAATAATCCTTTTATATATAATTAGCGAAACGGTCAACCATTTGACCTTAAACTTTTGCTACCATTCATTTGATAAAATCCAACATTGATAATTATATGAAATTATACTTGTAACGTACTTCCGACCCACGCACCATTTTACTACAATGACGCGGAATGTCAAATCTTTTCGATCCAATATTCAAAATCAACATTAATTACATTTTTAGATTTAATCTGATAATATCATTTAGGATAATTCAATATCATAATATACATTTTTGAATATTCTCGTTACATTCTCTGATAAATATTCTTTTACTATATTTGTATATATATATATATATATATATATATATATATATATATATATATATATATATATAAACATATATGCAAAAGAGAAAGAAAAAAAAAGAAAAAAGGAAAAAACAAAAAAAAAAAAAATATATATACACACACACACACACACATGTAATTTTCTTCTTGTTTTTGTTTTTAAAATCCACCAAATTTTATTCCTATCTGAGCCATGCTTTTATTCGAAGAAAATTTAGTTAGTTAAAGCACTTACCGCTACGTGGGATAATGCTGAGGTAAAAATATGCATCAACTTCATTGCTGTCACTTAACACATTGATAAGAACAAGAGCGTTTACGGCTAAATTACTGATAGAAAAAAAAGAAAAGAAAATAAAAGTGTGTGTGCGTGCGTATCTTTCTCTCTTTCTCTGTGTGTGCGCGCGTATCTGTTTCTACTAAATCACACGAATAATAATACCACATAGACAAGTATAAAAAGGACGGCTTTTAAATAACTTAGACGCGAAAAAAACACAAAATTCTAAATGATATGCCTTCGATAGAATAAACGGTATTAAGGAGAAACATTAAAGATCCGTTGGTATAAGTGAATTTGTTATGACATTTTATGGATCTCTACCGTCTGTGAGCACAACGATGAACAACGACGTTCGGAAGACCGTAATTGCTATATACGCACGTACACTGTAACGACTCTTTTAACGTGGTCCTTACGTCGAGTTATTCGTGCCAATCGACCCTAATAACTAATGGTTATCGTCTAATAACGCAATACGCCGTGTTTCACATTCTACATATATATATACACATATGTGTGCGTGTGTACAACTCTGAACACACTACTATTACCTGTTTCCTTTTCAATTCACATGATTTAGATATTTAAAGCCGATGAAATAATTTTTCGACAAAGTTCCTCTTCTGACGAAGAAATCGTTGTTTTTTATTTCTTAAACCACGAAAAGACATCTGTTATAATCTTTAAAACAATTCCACGCAAAATAGTGGCAGAAATTTCTTTCAAGATTACCGGTAGATCATCAAAATTCTTCTTGATAAATAACAAAGACGATATGAATAATGAAAGTATTAATCGTTCAGAAAAAATTGATTCTTCTCTTATATTCTCAATGCAATAATATTCCATTTTTATACCATTTGCAATTTCATTTTAGAATGAAATGTCAACTTGACTTTGATACTGAGCTAGCAGAGACATCTAAGGAAGATCTTTTTAATGTAAGTAGACGAAGGAATCGTAGGGGCTTATCATTGATGGTGGACCATCAATATTGCGCAAACTTGACTGCACTTATTGCATTTTCATTGTATTCTTTTGTTAATATATCTATTTAATTTTATAAAATTTTTTAACAAATGCTCCCCTCCCCACCAATTTTACGTATAATATTCTACAAGCAGGTGCCCAAATTTTCATCCAATTAATTTCTCTAATTTATATATAAGCGTGGATACGCGCGCACGTTTATTCGATTTATAATATTTATAATTCAAAAGAACGTACGCACGGACTGGAAGATTGCGCGCGAAATTAAGCAAAAGTAGGATAGTAATAGTAATGGTATAACATAATGATTATTACAATTTACATATATATTTTATATAAATTATAGTTTGCAAAAAATATTATATTTTGCTCACATTAGTTCTTCTTCCTTCTTTTATGTTTCTTTTTATTAATATTTGAACTCTCCGTTAGAATTTTGTCACTCTTTCTTTTTTCTATTGTACTTACTACGTTTACTTTCATGGAAGAAGAAGCAGGTGATTCAACAAGTTGTGTTGTTATCGGAGGAACACTGAAACCCGGAATCTGTAATTACATAGAACATTTAAATAAGGAGTAAAATTTGATGACTAATGTAATAAATATACTTTTAATCGTTATCTGTGATATTTACCTCTGGCTTTACAAGTTTGAAAATCAATTTCTCATGTTGAACGTTAGATCTGTCCAAACTTAACTGCACTACAATAAGATCAAATGTACGAAATATTATATTTCCGTATGATTGAGAATGATCCTCTCGATTATATGTAAAAATAACAGATGCTTCTGTTTTATTTAAATAAAGTGTGCCTTCTAAGCCATATTTTGGAATGAGTACTTGCAGAGCATTCTTTCGTACAAAAAGAATATATCCTTCTTCGTCTTTGACTTTCTCTCGGAAAAACAACTAAACGATACAAAATAATTAATACGCGCGTTTTTTTTTTTCCAATATAAATAATATGCGCAAATTACAAAAGAAATAATATATACACACATGTATATTCAATGCAATCGATGCTCGACCAGCATACTGTGCCATCCTATTTCGATAGTTCAAATTATAACATAATGTGTGGTTTTGTTGTTTATCCAATAACTCTGAACAAGTAACATCTGCTCCGATAGATATTGCTAAGAGACGATGTACTATAATATCCGCATATCTACAAATAAATTGAATCAAATTGATGAGTTTAAATCGAATGCAATGACATGCATATTATAACAGACTTGTCGAATTAAGCTGTATATATCAAATTTGGCATATACTTTGACCTTGGTGTATAACATAAAAATGACAACTGGATGGAAAATATAATAAATGTATGAAAAAATTTCTATTAAAATCAATGTATTTGTTTAAATAACTATTACCTACGGATAGGCGACGTGAAATGTGTATATATTGGGGTAGCTAATCCATAATGATAAAATTCATTTTGTTGATGCATTCCACTAATGAAATATACTGCTTGCATCAGGCATCTTGTTGTCAAAATTCTCAACATGGTATTGAAATAAGGATTGTCTTCTTTTTGCGCTTTATCTAACGATTCAGCTAATTCTTTTCCACTGTTTGTATTCATTACAAAGCCCTATTAAAATGTATACATAAAAATATATATATATATAAATTTTCTTTTCTCTTTTTTATTATATTACCTGATTTTTTCCAGCTTTAATCAATGGTTCAAAATTTTTTTGCGGTGGTTCTGGATGCCTCCTAAGCATCGCGCATTCTGGAAATTCTGTGATAATTTTTTGTGCTACTGAAATATTTGCAAGTAACATGAATTCTTCAATCATGAAGTTTGTATCTCTCAATTTTTTAACTTGCACGTCAATCGGTTCATGAGTTTCATTATCTTCTCGCAAATAGATCTCGGGTGAAGCCAAGGTCAAAGCACTGTAAATAAATAAATAAACACACACACACACACACACACACACACACATATATATATATATATATCAATGAGGCTTGAAACATGTTTCAGAGAGAGAGAGAGAGAGGGGGGAGAGAGAGAGAGAGAGAGAGAGAGAGTGTAATATTTTCTCGTACCCCTTGTCCATTCGTTTTTTTTTCAATTTTTTTGCAAAATTATTTAAAGTTCTTAACGATTCGGCAAGTACATCATTTTGATTAACGTCATCGATTTTTATTTGAGCTTCTTCATAGGTCATGGCACGACGCGAACAAATCACGGACTTACAAAATCTAGTACTTATGATATTTGCATAGGAGTCCATCTCCCATATACAAGAGAAAGTCAATCTATCTTCGTTTTCTCTTAGAGAGCATAAATTGTTACTTAATAGTTCTATAAATAATGCAATATATTTTATTATAATAATAGATATTTATTAAAAGATTGTATAAAGTAAATAACACATTTCCTACCTGGTATCATAGAGATCCTTTTATCAACAAGATATACCGTAGTACCTCTTAAAGCAGCTTCCTTATCCAGAGCTGTTCCAGGCTTAATAAAATAAGATACATCCGCAATATGAACGCCAACTTCATAATTACCATTTGATAATAATCTACAATGTAAAGCATCATCAATGTCAGTACACCCTGGTGGATCTACGGAACAAATATCCAAATGCCTAAAATCTTCCCTTTCTGCGATAACCTAAATATCATGGAAATCTGTTAATAAATCGCAAAGGAACGTTATTATTTTAAAACTAAGTATATTTACATTTTCTGGTATAGTCCATGGCATTTTTGGAAGGAAGCTGAGTACTACATCAGAAA